GCCTCGTTTCCTCGTCGTTGCGGTCGATCGCTCGGGATTAAATTTCTTGGTCGGTCATGCGACCAAGTAAATATGCATTTCTTCTTTTGTCCCGTCATCCTCCTTCCGTGTCTTCTTCTTTCGTGCGTCTCTCTCGCTCCCCTCCTCCTCCTCATCGTCGTCATCATCATCCTTCCGTCGTCCACTTACTCCTCCACTTTTGCACGCGTATCTCCCTAATCGAAGCTTCGAGCTCGAGGAAGGAAAGTAAACCGGCCGCGTTCGAAAATTTAAGGCCGGTTAAATGAGCTTGATAAAGTATGCGCTCTCGAGGGGCTTTTTGTTCGCGTTTCCAACGATGCAACGTGTTTCTGATGCTTGTTTAAGACCGCTAAGCGGTGTCCCGGAACGGGATTCTGTGTGGAGAAAATCGGTGAAAAAGGAAGAAGATCTCGAGGATCGATAGCGCGGTCAATTTTGTACTTCCTATGTATTCAGAGGGATTTTTTTCAGAAGCTAAATCTTTGATATTAGGCGTAATACGTATACTTACCAATTTTGTTTTCAGATTTTAGATTGGTCTTAAGTGTGGTCTTTATGGCGACTTCTCTAGATCTCCTTTGAGAAACCAGGTTATCAGGTATTAAATTTCATATCTTATTTCATAGTCCATGTATGTAAATGGCGTGTGCAAAATTGTTTAGGAAATAATAATCACTTACATAACGCGAAAATGATGAATGAAAGAAAAAGAAATATCGAAATACGTGATACCAAGTAAGAAGTTTGGAATCAAAAGAGAGATTCAACTTGAAATTCTCAAGAATGAAGATCCACTTTGAGCCATACTATGAGCCATTGCTAACACTATTATTTGCCAACGTGCATCTAACATTCGAAAAGCGATTCCCTTTCATTTATATACTTAGAAATGTATGGCAACGTTTCAAGCGTAGAAGTGTTTCCAACGATAGAGCATAATAGAGCAAGGTATCGAGTAAAAATAAAACCGACGAATGAAAGGATTCCTGAGAGTATTCGCAATTTTCTACGCGATTGGCACCTATTTGACTGACCTTCGATTCGTGTAGTTTCCATCTATCTTCTTATCGTGCAATTTCCATCAACCACTTCGTTGTTTAAACGTAAACTTTCTCGTTTTGTATAAAAATAAAATCATTCAACAAGAATTGCCGTACGACGATGGCCGTAAAATAAAATTTTGCATAAAATAGTTATCTCGATATCAGGAAGCAGGAGCAACAACATTTATAATCCATTTTTACTGTTACATACGTTTCCAGCTTTCTCTTAGAATTCGTCGTAAAATAGAAACGACCAATATCCTTACCGTTGCCCTATTTTTCTCGATCGATTCTTTAATTTCATTCGAGTTGTATTTACATAGCTTCTTCGTTCCACGTCAGCGATCATTACGATTGACGTGCACGCTATGTATATACGAACGTCGATTGAATCTTCGATCGTTCATTTCAAGAGAACAACTTTATTAGTCTGATCTTTAAATTATTTATTGAGGATTAGGAATACGGAATTCTTTGATATATTTTTATATCCTATTTCTATCTTATTCTGAATCTTTCTGAAACAGAGTCGCATAAATTCATAAAACATTTCCATAATCAATTTTTCTTATAAAAAATTTTCTCACGCTATCATCCACTTCTTTACCAATCACACAAATCTAATAAATGGCACGCACAGGGACGAACTAGTTTTTCCTACCATTGCGTTTTCTCATAAGTGGCCAGGAGGAAGTGATGGTAACCGAGCAGAAGCATGTATTACCGTAACACCATGTGTTCTCGTCTTGATCACGGGAGAGGTTCGATCTGTTCGATCGTCAGGATAAGAGAGATCCTCTTCTCAATGAATTTACAATCTTCTGGCACAGACATAGACAAGAATGCAGTCCTTTGATTAAGAGGTGTGCTCGCACAGTAACGGTTCGTTAAGTGGAAAACGCGTTAACGCGCGCGATTTCTGACGACGGATCCGCTTCTGCTCGAGAGGGTACACGCGACAGAACGAGTGTATAACTGAAAGGCAAAGGCTCTTGGGGTTAGATCGAGTGGATGTGCGTCTGAATCGTGTCTAAGAGATTTCTAAGAGTTAGTTGTTTAACGACGTAGATTTTGCTTCGAACTCTTGAATAATATCATTGTATGCGAGTCGATTCATGGTATAGATATTGTAATCTTACCTTTTCAATATAGTATACTGGATGTCGAAATATTTATTTCACATAATTTTTAATTAAATTCCAGAAATTTTCTTAAATCTCTTGATAAGATTTACGCGAGGCTCATTCCACATTCCTCAACGTAATTTAGATTAATTTGTGCGATCCAAATATCTTATTTTAAAGTATCTTGCTTAAAACGAACAAGTGTTCAGGTATAAGTGGAATCGGATGAGATACTTTTTGTTGATCAAGTATCTGAATTTTTTACAATTATTAAACGCACGAAATATTATTCTCGTTATGTCGCAAATTAAGGAGAATAGAATCGAGGAATTTAAAGGAATATTTTATCACTTTCAACGTTATTAACAATTATAAATCAATTTAATAACCAATTCGTATTTATTAACAGGTTCACTTAAAATTCCACTAAAACGAACTCGTAAACACCTCGTAAAAAAACCAAGCCCCGTTTCTCTCATCTGAATGCACAGAGGCACATGGCTTCCCCGAGTAATTAACAAGGTGGACGTCGTTAATTGTTTCGGCGAAATGTATCACAGGATGCACGGTTATTTATTTAGCCAAGGAAGATGGTTTGAATGGAGACCTCCTTGGCCTTGAAAAGCCGCTTCAGAAGCCATCGAACTCGAAGATCGAACAAAAGCAACTGGACGAGCCTACGTCCATCAAGTGACAAGTCGTCAACCGCTTTGGATACTGTTAATCCGATTAATTAACGAAAATAATCCCATCCACCCAGCCTCTTTCTTTTCCTTTTCTTCCCTCCCCCTTCCCCTTCTCTTTCGTTGAATACGGCGCAACAGATTGGAATTTCGATGCGATGGAAGCCGCCCCGTAATGTTGTCCCGCTATAACAACCGGTAGCGGACACGCAGTGTATCCTGAATACTCGGTGAAGGTTTCAGGATGCAGTGTAAGAGGACGAGCGTGTTTAGCGGCTGTGTGCTACCCGTTACCTAGTTATCCTAGCCCGCGGTTACGAGGATCGCGTTACGACCAGTCCCGTGTCTCATCAGACATCCTACTGCACCCGATGCTGTATCAAAAAAAATACGACCACAAAGGTTCTCGTGGAAAAATTCATCGATACCCGGCAACCGAGTTCTAGATACAGGCTATATCTCGTGCAAAATAAAACTACGTGCATCTTAACTCGAAACGGCGATATTTTAGCGAATCAATGGACGTTGAATTTAGAATATCAAAGATACGATTCTGGAATAATTCGTCGATGATAATCGATTTATAGACGTGCCTCTGAAACTAATTCTCTACGATGGAGTTTTAGCTATGATAGAGTGTAATTGGGACAAGCATCTCCAGCCTTTATATTCGGATGGTACCTCTTCTATTAATATGCTGACTAATCTGAAATTTGGCTAAGATTTAGAGATCAAGACTCTTCGATCAAAGCCTTTTCAGACGCTTTAAAATGATGTTATAATGAATCTTATATTTAAGAACACAAATTTGCAGATAATGCATCTGTTAATTGAACAGTTTATAATTATTTACAGAGGATCAACAATGAAAATTGAAGGAAACCGTTCTCTTTTCTTCAAATGCAGAACACCCTGTATATCGCAAGTTTAATCCCTTTCCATCCAATCGACGAGGAATTGCGATACGATCGTTGTTGATCTAAGATCAGAACGAAGCTGGCCTCGCCTTTCTATCGCGAATAATACTAACCGATTAATTTTTAGTACGATATTATCGTGGCAATATCACGATGCGAAGAATTGGGCCAAGCCGGTGACCAAGGGATGATTAATTTAGCGGATTTTCCTCTCCAAGTCTCGGACAAATGTTAAACGAACGGTGCTCCTTCTACGCTCCTTTTCACCACGAGATCATTGCCGATCCTCCGCAACTTGCAAAGGAAATTGCCTTTTCTCGGTCACGGTAATTCATCATCATTTGCCTTCGAGACCAAAGGTCTTAAGGGAAATTTATGTCCCGCGTCTAATAAATACACGCGTATCGGCGTTCCTTTTAACGTGTAATTTCCTCGAAGGAGAACTGTTACCGGAGCAGGTTTCCCGGTGTAGCGGTATAATTTCACAATAAGATCAACAATCGGCGAGTAATTAGATGATTCGAGGGGTTTAGAATGGGGACTTGGTCGTGAAACATCCGGTACCATTTTTGGTATTCTTAAAATACCATCGAATCCAGTATCTATTTATAATTAGAGTTTTTTTTAAAATAAGTTATCAACCGACAGGTGTTTAATTAATTTTTTTGAGAAACTTGAAACCGGGGACCGGTTTTGCGAAAACGTCCGGTAGCATTTCAGCTTCGTTGTTCTTAAAATATCAGTGACGATACACAGTTTCTATTTATACGTTGTAATCATCGTACACCGATTCGTGTAATCTTATCTCAACTTTTAGAAAATAATAGTCAATTTCACCATTTTCTATCTTTCTACACGGTAAAATAATAACGGGGGAGAAGAAAAAAAAAATTAAATACAGTGTGTAAACAAGATTTCAATCATCGATTATCATCGAAAAGGAATCTTTAGATTGTTTTATGGGCATAAATTAAAATTACTTATCGATCGATCGATCGATTACACAGTAATTAGAATTTAGTAACGATTTTTTATCCGTATCGTTTTAATTAATCTGTCTTTGCATTTCAGATTTTACCGTAAGACGATTTTATATCCCGATAGACGATAATTAATTTTGATCAAAGAGTCGTAAAATAAAATTTTATTAAAATTATAATTATTATTTAATAATTTTATTAAAATTTAACGACGTAGTATAACGTTTGAGGAAATTAGTCGAACGAAAGAAAGAAATGTTATTTCGCATCGAATGATGTAAATATGTATATAATAATTTCGTGGAATCTCGACTGTTGGAAAACAAAGCGACTTTCGATGATTATGTTTCTCCAAATCGTCGAAACTGTTTACATATTATATCGCTCGCTACTGTTTACGTATTATATCGCTCGCTACTGTTTATATATCCTACGATTGACTCATTCTGCGCGTTACCTTCGTGCTGTTCGGACGTAAGTCGAATCGAATTTAGTTTTATATTCTAATTTTCTCTTGATATTTATTTTTAATATTTTTGCAAACCCTTATTAAACGAAACTTATTAATGTATTTGACTATCATAAACTTTATTCAAGCGAGATGAACATTGATCCAATTCGTCGGAACGTATCACCGCTTACGTACACACCTCTCAATCATCCCAACATCTCCACGATCAAGAGCTCTTCGAATACCAGAAGCTCTCAACCGCTCGATAAAGCATTCAGCAAATGGAGCGAACCATGAAGCTACAATCGGCCGACGAAGTGGACTTTAGGACTCGATTCTCCTTGCAGATTCGCCTAGTTTCCTGCCACGATCAACGAACTCGATCCTCGAGAATCCAATAATTGGCGAGGTTCCATCGATCGTTCCAACACCACGGTGGCGGCTCTTGGAAAACGACGCGTCGTTCCAGGGAATCGAGTGTCGTACCCGTTTCGATTAATCTTGCTGGATATAGCCTCGAGGGAGTCTCGTCTTGTCCAACACAGTTGCAAAGAGAACGAAAGAATAACCGTCCAAGTTCGAGAGAATCGTTTCGACGTGGTCGATTCGAGTAACGGGCAACAATTTGCCAATTGATTAGCCGTGTTTCTTTCTCCTCTTCTTCCAAGCGGAATCCAAGCCTCGAGGTGTTTTCACGTTCCAGATTTTCTGACACAAAGACACACCGAGGTCTCGAGAACTCGAGCAATTTTATGGAGAACTGATTCGCAAATTGGCCGTGTTCCTCGCTCTTGCTCCTTCCTTTCTTCCCTCCCGACGATTGGACGTTCTCTAAAGGTAAGATTGTCGAGCAAAGGAGAAGCTTATTGAAGAGACGCGAGAAACAACTAAAACCTTTCCCACATCTTTCCATTCTCTTCTTCCTCGCATATTCTCCTTTCCTCCGTTCGAGAATCGGTACGTTTGCTGCCAATTCCTCGACTTCCTCTCATAAATTCAATTTGCCGTTTCATCAAAGTGCTGAGAAACGAGCTAACATTTTTCACCTTGCTCGATAATAACACGAATATGAAAGATGATATCGCGCATAAACTCGAGGCTAGGCTTTTCGTAGGCGACGTACCATTCGACAGGAATCTATTAATCAAACGAGTGATTAACGCGCGCTTCGATTTTTGCGTAATTTTCATGCACTTTGTTGTTTCCCAAACGCCGCTGCAAAGTACGATGAACCCTCCTTTCCGTCTTTTGTGATCTATCCTTCGCGCCGCGGTTTCTATTAATCAATCAGCTGATTAATTAATCAACGAGCGGCTTCGGTTATATCTTCTTTTTCTTTCTATTATTTATCCGGCTTTTTGTTCTTGAAAGATTGTTCGATTCATTGCCCTTCTACTCGCGATATTCAATCACGACGTAGTATTTTTCTTCTTGTTTTTCGATTAACGATACACTCTCGAATTGGCAGAAATTTCTAATTCTTTTTTTAGCTTATTACTCGAATTAATCCATCATTGTATAAATAATAGTGGCTAAATAATCTCTCAAGCGAACAAACGTCGCAAAAATCTTTGTTTTGAATCGACAGTTTAGATGAGATTAGAGGGAGAAGAACCGTGCTATGAACATCGTCAACAGAAAACATCGATCGATACAAATTACTTTTAGATTAATATTCGTTTACCATATTCGAGTCGAACTAGCCACGTGCCGGAGAAATAATTTATTACTCTGCAATAAATTCTCTTATTCATTCGTTTTTTCATCTGGAAAATAATTTTCATTCTCCATCCAATTTTCCTAGTTTGACTTAGTATCGTTCGAAAACTGCTTCTACGATTTTTATTAATCGATTGAATACCTTAACTGCGGGTCAAGTAACATTACTCGCTTTTATTACCGTAATACGTTTCTTCTCCCTCGGTCGTGGCTAAAGGATACTTAAAACTGTGCTAATTTAGACGTGTTAATCATTTTATTGGCATAATATCAAGTGTGCGACTCTTGACGGAAACCTGCAGATTTTTATTCTTCATCTTCGATTCTTTTTTTTTTTTTTTTTTT